TTTTAGTAGAGATGGGGGTCTCACCATGTTGGCCAGGCTGGTCTCAAATTCCTGACCTCAAGTGATCCTCCCACCTCAGCCTCCCAAAGTTCTGTGATTGCAGGCTTTGAGCAACCATGCCCAGCCATCATCTTTTTTTATCTGAAGTTTTTTTTATTTTTTTGAGACAGAGTTTTGCTCTGTTTCCACACTGGAGTGTAGTGGGACAATCTTGGCTCACTGCAACCTCCGCCTCCTGGGTTCAAGCAATTCTCCTGCCTCAGCCTCCCAGGTAGCTGGGACTACAGGCGTGAGCTACCACACCTGGCTAATGTTTTTATTTTTAGTAGAGACCGGTTTTGCCATGTTGGTCAGGCTGGTCTCAAACTTCTGACCTCAGGTGACCCGCCCACCTCAACTTCCCAAAATGCACTGATTACAAGCATGAGCCATTGTGCCTGGCCTATCTGAAGATTTTATATTAACATTCTGATACTCTTCTATACTCTCCTGATACCTTTCTGTACATATTTTTGACCATAAAGTTTATAATATACATAAGTGGGCATTGTACTGGCCTCTGACTTACTGTCTTATTTACCCTCTTTGGTTTTCCTCCCTTGTCTGTCTGCTTTTTTTCTTTGCCATACAGTAATTCTCACAGTCTCTGCCTTCCATTGCCTGTTCCCTTATTTATGATTATAGATTGGCCATTTCTATAATTTAACTCCAGTTTGTCTGCCATCAGGATGAATTTGAGGGTTTTAGATTTTGATTTGTTTTAGATCGTCCCTTGAGTTCGAAATTTAAGATATTTGTTACGCTTCTATGTAAGTATGTTTTCTACTCTTGTGGTTGGTGCTCTTCTGAGAGTGTATCCTCACACAGTCAAAGCTTCCTGTCTACCCTGCAAACACCTCTTTCCTCCTGGTCTCACCTATCTGCTTTCTTCCAGTCTGACAAAATAAAGAACAAAGATTTGTGCCTTAATTTTAACCACCATAAGTTAAAGAACTCTTTTTAAAGGTAGTATTTAGTATTGTCTTTGTTACTCTCATTATTAATGTTACTTTCATACTACATTAAAGGCAAATGAAGAGTAGTTCTTTTTCATCAATGTGATTATGCCGTCTTTAGAGTCAGTTAAATTAAAATTCCAAAAGAATGACTGCTGATAGCTGTCACAAAGGCAGCTTTGTGGGTTAGTTTGTGTAGATGTGGGCAGCTGTGAAGAAGTTTTAGTTTGGGAATTTTTTTTTAAGTAGTTAGAGCATGGAAATTTTTAAACCTGTTAAAAACTTTAGACAAATTAAATTTAATAGAGTTTAATTGAGCAAAGTATGATTCTTAAATCAGGCAGCCCCAAGAGCCAGAATAGATTCAGAGCAACTCCAGGGCTGCTACATCATCGTTATAACATTTATGGACAGAAAAAGGAAAATGACATACAGAAGCGAAAGTGAGGTACAGAAACAGCTGGACTGGTTACAGCTCAGCTTTTGCCTTACTTGAACATTGTTTGTACAGTGGCTGCCTGTGATTAACCAAAACTGTGCTTGGTACACAGTAGGTTACAGTCTTTTTATACAACCAATTAAGTTACAGTTCACTATGTATGGAGAAACCTTTAAGCTGAGCTTAAAGTATATACAGAGACAGCTTTAATCTAAATTTAACCTTGTAGTTAGGATTTTTTAAATGCACAGACTCTGCATGTAGACACACAAACAGGTAGACGTGACCCGGCATTTTTATGCACGTGTACAGTTCATTGCAGAAAAGGCACTGAAATATTTTGATTGGCTTTACAAATAGCAGAAAAGTTGTAAAACCAAGGGAAAAACCTACTGCGGTATTTCTGCCTATTTAGATTCACAGAAGTCTTCGGGAACAAACACAAGCAAAGTCAGACTTCACGCCAGTGGTGCTGATGGAGATGAAAGTGAGGAAGATCCACCTGAGCATAAGCCAAGCAAACTCAAGAGGAGGTAAGTTGCATGAGGCCCCCCTCACCAGTGTGTGTTAGAGTAAGCATTTGTGTCCGTAAGCAAGTGGTTATTAAATGATTGTTATGTTCACAACACTGGTAATCTTGTAAGAAGAGGCGGGGTCTACTGGTAAGATTCTGAACCTTTGGACCTGGACCTATGGTCAAAGCTAAACTCTGCCACTCACAAACCCTAAGTACATTTACCTCTTTTTTTTTTTTTTTTTTTTTTAAAGACACAGTCTCACTTTATCTTTCGGGCTGGAATACATGGCATGATAATAGCTCACTGTAAACTTGAACTCCTCAGCTCAATCCATCCTTCTACCTCAGCCTCCTGAGTAGCTGGTACTACAGGCATGTGCCACCACTCCTGGCTAATTGTTTCAAATCTTTTGTAGAGACAGGATCTCACTATATTGCCCAGGCTGATCTCAAACTCCTGGCCTCAAGTGATTCTCCTATCTTGACCTTCCAAAGCACTGGGATTATAGGTGTGAGCCACCACACCCAGCCTAAGTACATTTCTTAATTTCTCATCTATAAGATTGGGTTGATGCCTTTTTTATGACCCTTGGGTAGACAGAAGCTAGCATATAATGTATTTGACATTTAGTAGCTATCAGTAGATTCTAACTTTTTTTTTTTTTTTTTTTTTTGAGACAGAGTCTTGCTCTGTCGCCCAGGCTGGAGTATAGTGGCGTGATCTCAGCTCACTGTAACATCTGCCTCCTAGGTTCAAGCAATTCTTTTGCCTCAGCCTCCCTCCAGTAGCTGGGATTACAGGCACGTGCCACCACCCTGGCTAATTTTTGTATTTTTAGTAGAGACGGGGTTTCACCAGGTTGGTCAGGCAGGTCTCAAACTCCTGACCTCGTGATCTGCCCGCCTCAGCCTCCCAAAGTGGTGCAATTACAGGCGTGAGCCACTGTGCCTGGCCATAACTTTTAACTAATAATTATATTCATATTCTCTCTCTCTCTCTCACCAGTTCTAATTTTTTTCAAAAATGTGGGTATATCGTCTCCCAGGCTTGAATTGCTGAAATAGACCAAGCTCATGCTCTCATTGAATAGATAGGAACACAGGCAAACAGGGACGAGTACCTTGCTTAGAGTTTTTCACAATAATGACAGCTTTAAAGCTGGAGCCCAAACCAGCTCTACTTGAAGCAGCGCAATTAATGTTTACCACTGTGAAAGTTGTAAGACTCAAAACAGAATCACTTGTGTCAAATGATGGTAAAATGTAGCCAGGGAAGGCCATGAAAGGAGGGCTCTCGTGCACGATTTGCCTGATAACAGGAACTGTCACAGAAATGTTTCCAAGCCAAAGCATCACACAAGGACAGATAGCTGCTCATACAGGAACATGTGCCTGACACAGTCTCACAGACCCAATCCAAAACTGCAGAGGCCTAACCATAACTCTCAGATTCAAGTTCCACCCAACAACCACTGGCTCTCTTAATCAAAACTCATCAGCTGTTTGTTGTAAGATGCTGCCAGCGCCAGTAGACTAACTTTCTAAACAACTTGCGTGACCTCTTTCCTCAATGAAACTCTAACCTTTTCCATTCTTCTTTGGACATTTCATGAGACCACCTCATTCTGCACTTATGTCCGAAGTTGCAATCCTGTTTTTGTGTTTTATAACCAAATAAAAGTTCTTTTTTGGGTATTCATCTTTACATTTTTTTCTTGGAGGTTTATACCGCTTCTACACATCATTAAACATGTAGAGAATAATGTAAGGCAGGATGTAGTCAGATGTTAATGCTGTAGGTAGCAAGGAAAGTACCTTACTGATACTGAAAGTATCATTACTGAACTTGGAAGTTAGCTGGACACTTCATTTCTCTGACAGGATATGAGGTGCTCGACATAAGACTTTTGTCCTCTATATAGCTTCTAGAAAAACAAGTATGCCTCTACTATGCTCCCTCTATATAGTAGACGTTGCTTGTTAGCTCCCTAGTTCCTACTAGTTACTGAAGGCAAAGATAATGTGTTTTCAATGAGTATAATCTACTTTGAAGGACAAACTTTGTAAGAATTACTTCTCACCATTTTCCTTTACTTGGGATTATGGCTGGGGGTAGTCACTAGTTATTAAAAGATCTCTGATAGATGGATTCTCCTGGGTTACTTAATATCACTCATATCACAATCTTATTCTTTTTAATAATTTTTTTCTTTTAAAATTTTTTTGATAGGATTGATATGTATCAAACGTTTCCTTGTTTTTAAGGGAAACCTTTGGAAAAATCACTTTGGGAGATTTATTTAAGGCTACAGCTTTTACTGGTGTTTTCTAAAGGAAAATGGAGACATGATATTCGTACCATACTCAGGAATAGAAATTATTACTTGACATGGATTAAGACTGGAGTACTTATTACTGTGTGTTCCAAACACTCCTGGGTACTTATCTCATTTGGAAAATTCTTTTTTTTTTTTTTGACGGAGTTTCGCTCTTGTTACCCAGGCTGGAGTGCAATGGCGCGATCTCGGCTCACCGCAACCTCCGCCTCCTGGGTTCAGGCAATTCTCCTGCCTCAGCCTCCTGAGTAGCTGGGATTACAGGCATGCGCCACCATGCCCAGCTAATTTTTTTGTAGTTTTAGTAGAGACGGGGTTTCACCATGTTGACCAGGCTGGTCTCGATCTCTTGACCTCGTGATCCACCCGCCTCGGCCTCCCAAAGTGCTGGGATTACAGGCTTGAGCCACCGCGCCCGGCCCTCATTTGGAAAATTCTAATTAAAGTACTCTTTCTCCTGGTTTCCTGGATTTGTGAACTATGGTTGATTATAGTGATGGGAAGTTTGCCTGGGTCAATTATATTGCTTTTTTAATATTTATCAGAACTGGTGGGCTCTGGTGGTAATGGCTTGTCACTGTTTACCTTTTCTTTATTCATTTAGCCATGAACTGGACATCGATGAAAACCCAGCTTCAGACTTTGATGACAGTGGTTCCCTTCTAGGATTCAAGCATGGCTCAGGACAAAAGTAAGTATTCATTAAAACTGTTGTCTTCCAGAAGTCCTAACCACTTCAGCTATCTTAGAGCACTCTGGTATTCAGATAACTAATAAACGACAATGTGTATAACATTTGAGATGTAGTGATTAGGGCACTTCTTGTTAGAATTGTGGTAGAGATATCCCTGTACATTTGATGTGTTCATAAGCTTTAACTCAGTGGTATTTCATGGTAATCCAGTGTTGTTACTCCATTTCATAGATAAAGCAACTGCAGCTCAAAGAGGCTTTGACTTGGTCAAGATCACATCATTTACTGGAGAGGGAATTTAGGCCCAGCTCTTGTGACTTCTAAGCATGGTTCTCTTCTCACCTAGAGTCTCACATGTGTACATCTGAAAACCATAGTAAGCATGCCATAAAAAGTTGAAATCTGCTCTTTTTAAGAAAGAGTAAAATTCAAACAAACCAAATAACAAGTAAAAAGTAAAACATCTTCCAGTCATTCTCAGATGTAGTTAGTATTTAAAGAGTTTGGCACTTTGGGAGGCTGGAGCATGAAGACTGCTTGAGCCCAGGATTCAAGACCAGTCTTGGCAACATAGAGAGACCCCCATCTCTACAAGAAATTTAAAAATTAGCTGGGTTTAGTGGTACATGCCTGTATTTCCAGCTCTTTGGGAGGCTGAGATGGGAGAATCACTTGAGCCCAGGAGGTTAAGGATGCTGTGAGCCATGATAATACCACTGCACTCCAGCCTGGGCAACAGAGTGAGACTCTCAAAGAGTTTGGCATACAGCCCTCCAAATTCTTGTGTGCTATGACTGTATACATGTACACACATTTTTTGTTTGTTTTTGTTTTGTTTTTTTGAGACAGTCTCACTCTGTCGCCCAGTTTGTATTGCAGTGGCGTGATCTTGGTTCACTGTGACCTCTGCCTCCCAGGTTCTGCCGATTCTCCTGCCTCAGCCTCCTGAGTAGCTGGGACTACAAGTGTGCGCCATCACGTCTGGATAATTCTTTTTGTATTTTTAGTAGAGATGGGATTATACCATGTTGGCCAGGCTGGTCTCAAACTCCTGACCTCAGGTGAGCTGCCCACGTTGGCCTCCTAATGTGTTGGGATTATAGGCATGAGCCACCATGACTGGCCATATATAATACATTTTGGTTCTCTTTGTGTAAAACAGAAAAATGAGGTCATATTATGCATACTCTCCAGCTTTTCTCCTTCAACAATATATATCATGGACACCCATTCTTGTTGGTGGAAACATTTAGCTAATTCTGTAAATGGAGGCATTGTGTTTTATCAATCATCCTAATTAATAACATCTAAATTGTTTCCTAAGATCTAAGCATAATGCCCACAGGTCCCTCCAGATTGTTACAAGTGCCTGCCTTCCTTCCTTAGGGTCTCACTGTATAAACCAGGCTGGAGTTCAGTACTGTTTTAAGTTTCTTCATAGAGATGGGGTCTTGCTATGTTGCCCAGGCTGGTCTTAAACTCTTGGCCTCAAGTGATCCTCCCATCTCGGCCTCCTAGAATGCAGGGATTGCAGGCATGAGCCACCACACCCAGCCCATTTATTCCTTCTTATTGCTGAATAGAAATCCAGTGTATGGATGTATCAAAATTTGCTCAACCATGTAACAGTTAAAGGGCACTTGGATTATTTCTGGCATTTTGCTATTACAGTTAAAGCTGCAGTGCAGGTGCAGTGGCTCACACCTGCAGTCCCAGCACTTTGGGAAGCTGAGGTGAGAGGATTGCTGGAAGCCAGAGGTCAAGACTAGCCTGGGTAACATAGCAAGGCAGAAAATGAAAAAAATAAAATGAAATTTCAAGAATAAATAAAGCTGCTATGAACATTTGTATGTAGAAGACATAAGATTACTCTGGGATTAAATGCCCAAGCATTAAATATAAAGGAACATATGAAGAAGTAGGTATTTGTGTTAGAACGACTAGAGATTTTATCACACATGACATGAAGACTAAACTGAGTAGGTAAGGCTGGCCAAAGACAGCCAGTAATCTAAACCATGACTGTGTTCTTTGATGTTTCTAAGGGTTGAGATTTCAGGTCCTATTTATCTATTTTATAAGTTGTATGAGTACCACTGAGTTAAAGCATATGAGATTTCAGGTGCTACTTATCTATTTTATAAGTTGTGTAAGTACCACTGAGTTAAAGCATATGAACACATAAAATGTGCAGATATCTACACATTAAGTAGATATCTACACATTATAAAGTCAGCAAGAAAGGGACACAAGGAATGTCTCAAAGTTGAATTTGAATTAGTTCAGAAGTACATGTTGACTATTAGAGTTTCTAAAGATTATCAGTTTTTCTCCTTTAGGTATTTCAAGGCAATTATAGTTCTTATAATCAGTAGTTCATATAATCACTTAAGGCCAAGATCATAAAATTTAGCAATGTAAAAAGATTTTTAAATTCTGGCAGGATTTATTACTATGCATATGTAATTTTATTGAGGAATTCTTGGGTAGATTTTGGTAGTATACACTTGTAGAGATCTATTTCTTTTCTTGCCTGAGATTTAACTTAACTACTCTTCTATTTCGAGCACCCAATTCTGCTTAAAAGAGAAGCATAAAATATACTGCTTATTAGAAGAAGTTTATAATATGGCTACAAAGTAAGACCTGACATTTAAACCCAAACTATTCTGGATATTAGAAATGCTAAAGTGTTGGTGACACTTTTAAGTCCCTGATAGTTTGTAGGAGAGGGAGTTAATTGAGGCTTAGTATAATCAAAGGAGGCTTCATAGCAGAGACATATCTTTTAGGACTAGAAAATTTCAGATGATTAAATCAGACATTCTCTTTTTGATACTAAGGTTTGGCTTCTTTTATAAGCTCAGATTGATTTAGATAATTCAGACACATCCAGAAATGTGTTAAAGAGCTTTGACATCACCCCACCTTAAGAAAATTTATATTTCCCTAACAAGGGGATAGGGTTTTCGTTTTTTAACTATTTGTTTATTGCAATCTACTATGTAATTTCTACTTTCTGCTCTATATTAGGTATGTTGCTCTTCCCAACTTTGGTGTCGCACATTTGCTTTAGAATTAACATAAAAGTTAGACCATCAACTCTTCTACAAGTTGAACTTGAATTTGTCATTTTCATAATTTTGAATAGGGAATTAAAATGGTGTAAAAATGAGTGAAAAATGTTAGTTTCATTCTCTTTGCCTATAAGGAAATATAATCCTAGAATTTAAGGTGTGAGTCACTTGTTTTGATCTGGTCACAGATATGGTGGAATTCCAAATTTCAGTCATCGGCAGGTCAGGTATCTAGAGAAGAACATGAAACATAAGTCTAAGTACCTGGACATGCGCAGACAAATAAAAATGAAAAACAAACACATCTTCTTTACCGAAGAGTCAGAAAAACCATTTTTCAAGAAAAGCAAAACTCTGAGTAAGGTATGTATAAATTTTATTTTATACTTGTAGATAGAATCATGTTTTATAAGCTTGACCCCTTAAAATTGTTGTATTCAAATAGGAAGCCTGTTTCTATTAGGCACCAAGGCACATAATTTTTTTTAACTTGCTTCTTTAAGGCATATATTATGTAAACTAAATTTGAAAAAGGGTAAGTCGAGGTAGGATGAAAAGGAAGTATTTGAAAGCTACAAAGTAGCAGTGTCTGAGATGATTTAAAAAATGCAACCTTGGCCGGGCACAGTGGCTCACACCTGTAATCCTAGCACTTTGGGAGGCTGAGGCAAGAGGATCACCTGAGGTCCAGAGTTCGAGACCAGCCTGGCCAACATGGTGAAACCCCATCTCTACTAAAAATACCAAAATTAGCCAGCCGTGGTGGCGGGTACCTGTAATCCCAGCTACTCAGGAGACTGAGGCAGGAGAATCACTTGAACCCGGGAGGCAGAGGTTGCAGTGAGCTGAGATAGTGCCATTGTACTCCAGCATGGGCAGCAGAGTAAGACTGCATCCCAAAACAAAAACAAAAACACAACCTTGCCTATATAGTAACAGACAA